AGTAAATGTTAACTTTTCTGTAACGCAGAAAATTCTGAAGGCAAAGGGAGTACTGTTACTAACTAAAGTTAGAGACAACTGCTTCAGTCTGAATTAACAACTGAATCTTAGAAATAAAAACCTTTTCTTTTTTTCTTTTTTTTTTTTGAGACGGTTGTCTCACTGTCTCCCAGGCTGGAGTGCAGTGGCCGGATCTCAGCTCACTGCAAGCTCCACCTCCCGGGTTCACGCCATTCTCCTGCCTCAGCCTCCCGAGTAGCTGGGACTACAGGTGCCCACCACCATGCCTGGCTAATTTTTGTATTTTTAGTAGAAACGGGGTTTCACCGTGTTAGCCAGGATGATCTCAATCTCCTGACCTCGTGGTCCCCCGGCTTCGGCCTCCCAAAGTGCTGCGATTACAGGCGTGAGCCACCGTGCCCGGCCAAAAACCTTTTCTTAACTGAATTGATAGTCATGTCAATATGGCCTACATGTAGTTTTAATCCATTAGAAAGTTCAAGTTTTGTTTGATTTAATGGATTCATTAGTAACTTCTAAAAGTACGTTCTCCTATTCTCCAATGTCAAGATAACATGATCAGAATTCAGATTAGATTCAAGTTCTTAGGAACTAAGAAGAATATTTATTTCTAACATGTGAATGCTTTTTAGATTTATGTTTTCAATACTAAAAAATTGTTGTAAATTACCTCTTTAACTGACAAGTGGACTGTAATTGTTCCTTTTCCCACTGAAGACTAAATTTATCTTACAAATATTTCATGAAAAGGGTGTGTGTTGAGAATAGTAATTAGGTAAGGAGGCAGAAATTGACTCATGGCTAAATTAGGTGGAAATAAATTGACTCCAGGAGAGCCAGGGGCCAGGAAGGGAAAGCAGAGGTGAGACCTGAGTAAGGAGAGTGAGATAGAGAATTTTCCTATTATTGGGAAAGAAATCAAAGGGCAAAAAAGTTAAAGAGAAGCAAAAGAATCAGAATAAGTTTTTAAAAATTTTCCTCTCCCTATCCCCAATGAGGACTCCATTCTTCCTGCCTCTGAACCTCAATAGCAGTCACCTAGTCTGTCTTACAGACATGGTAATTTGATATCACAAGATTCTTAAATTACAGAGTGCTTTTCTGTTACATTTTCTTCTAACGAAATTTCATACAGTGTTTTTCCTTTGTTTGTGTTTGTGGTTTTCATTTTATTTTGCTGGCTTGAGAAAAAAATACCTGCTTCATTCAAGTAACCTCACTATTGTTAACACAAGAGAGAAGCCCACCAGAGCCAATGCTGCTCTATTTGGGGTCAGTCATTCATTTATGCAATCATTATTTGCTCGAACATACAATGATGATCAACCAACCAACTAATCAGATCCTTCCATGAGAAGGCTAACAATGGAAGATAAAAAGATGGGGAGGAACAAAGATGAAGAAACCACAATGGGGCCAAGCACTAGAGAAAGGCTGGTAACTACATAAAACCAATTCCTATTACTTAGTACAATGATATTTAACATGGGGCCACACCAGCGCCTATGAGAACTTTTCAGTATAGAAATGTCTGGGCTGAATTTGTGATTAAGAAAGCACTATAAACCATTCTGATGAGAATTCCCATCAGATAATCACTGATGATGTTACCTGGGATGTGTCTCTTCCCTGCAACTCGAAAGATTGCAACTAACATCTTTTGTGGCTCTGCTTGGAAAATATTAATTCATTATCTCAGTATTGCTGCAACATCATGCTCTCTCTCTCTCCACTCCATGGATAGAACAATGCCTAACCTAGAGTAGGTATGGTAGATGCGAAGGAAAGAAAGAAAGAGGGGTTGAGGGGAGGAATGAAAACTGGGCTTTGTCCTTTAGAGAGGAAACAGGAAATGAGCAACCAGCCCACAGCATAATAAGATAGATCTTATAAGCTGAATAATGGTTCAAAAGGTGTTTTTTTTTTTTTTTTTTAATAACTTACATTATATGGTGAACACAGAGCCAAATTTGGGGGTGTAGCTGTGGTTCCAGAGTCACTACCTAAAGACAAGTCCCACCTTTGATCCTCAAGGTTGCCAGCAGCAAAGGCTGAAGGCCAATATGGGTAAGCCTTCAGTTTACTGGGCAGTAGGGGATTTTCTAGAGTCAGAAATAAGACTGGATTTAATTCAAGAACTCTCAAAATGGAAACGTTTGACTTTAGAAAGACTTCACTTATTTGGTTTGGATCGTTGTCCTTGCTGAGTACATTGAAATACTAAGTATCCAGATGAATGAGTTGACAGGCATGAAGGATTTTAGTTTTTGGTAAATTAGGAAGTTGGTGCACAAATAGTGGTGATATGGTTTAGCTCTGTGTCCCTGCCCAAATCTCATCTTGAATTGTAATCCAAATTGTAATCCCCATGTGTTGAGGAGGGACCAAGTGTGAAGTGATTGGATCATGGGGGCAGTTTCCCCCATGCTGTTCTCATGACAGTGAGTGAGTTCTCACGAGATTTGATGGCTTTATAAGTGTTTCACAGTTTCTCCTTTGCTGGCACTCTCATTCTCTCTCTCCTGCTGCCATGTGATACATTCCTTGCTTACCCTTTGCTTTCCACCATGATTATAAGATTCCTGAGGCCTCTCCACCCATGCAGAACTGTGAGTCAATTCAATCTTTCTCTTACAAATCACTTACTCTCAAATAGTATTGCTTTAGCAATGTGAAAATGGACTAATACAAGTGAGGTAGACAGAGAGAGGGTAAAGGACTAGAATCTGTCCTTAGCTAATCCAAGAACTGTTCTGCTTTCAAATTAAGAGACAGAATATAGGCAGAACAATGCTGTTAGGGAATCCATATTCTCAGAGAGAGAGATAATATGTAGTCATAGTGTATCTGATGAAGTATCTTCCTGAATGGCTTTCAGACACTAGGTATTAGAAAGGAAACTTTAAAGAACACAAGCAAGTTTATTCTCAAGCTCATATGAGTGCCTTCCAAGGCACCCACAAAAGTAAAGTACCCTGGGAAAGTAAAGAGGCCTTAAGAGAAAGCCTCAAAGTTCCCATAGTTACACAAGTCAGGGTTAACAACCCAGTGTTAACATCTCTTTCATTGTCCCCACAGGCTGGTGCAAGGTCTGTAACATTCAGAATTCATATATTATACATTTTTTTATGTATAGGAATTCAAACAATTTGCTTTATCTCAGTCTGGATAGAATCCACTTTGTGACTCGAGGAGGGGAAAATTAAATTTGACTTATGACATTCAGTGTTGAATTTTGCAATCTGGGTCAATGGAGGGAGATAACAGCTTCATCTTGCGTTTGATTGAGTCTTCAAAAAAATTAAAAGCTACACTACAGGAGTTCACATATTCCTGACTTCTGAAAAGTTGGGTCAATTCAGATCCTCACTGTAATTGACAACGATAAATCAATCCTAGGCCAGGTTTCTGCTTTCAAGAAAAGGATTTTCATGAGTTTTGTTTCTGATTTCAAATTTTGCAGCTTCTCAGAAAGGAATAATCCTCATTTTATTGATAACTCAGGGCAGCATTAAGATTCTGTGTGTGAGTGCTTAATAAAAATAAAATAGTAATAGTAATATTAACAGGCTTACAGTCCACTGCCCATGTTATCAAATTTGTTGTGACAAATTACAAGATCCATGAGATAGCAGGCAGAACAATGTCAAAGCATATTGCATCTTTTTCTATGTAAGTGTTGACCTTCTTCCAAAAATCTCATCTCCTCACGTTGATAAAGCAAAGGATTTATCAAGGAAACTATCAGGGAATAAATTTTAACTTGAGTAACAATTCCTTTCTACTTTAAAATATGATATTTATAAAATTAGCTTGTTTCAGATTAGGAATTAGTCTTTAAGGGACGTATGATGCAGAGACATAATAGATAAATAGGCTTTAAATGCATGATATAATTAGATTATTTTCAAGAATAAATTTTAAAAATTTCAATTTCCTACTTACATTAATGTGTCATGCTTT